TCCTCTCCAGGTACATGTCTAGATCTACAAGCACGGACGGCGCGAAGCCGAAGGTCCTCCTCATCGGCTTCCTCGACACTAAGGAAGCGGAGTACGCGTTCGTGAAGGACCTACTCGAGGCGAAGGGATGTGAGGTGGTCATCATCGATACCTCTATCCAGGTGCGCACCCCACTTCCGAGATCGACCCTTGGTTGACTACATCTGCGCTCCGGCACCCCTGACCAACTATTATGACCCAGACCGAAACCGCCCTTTCCAAACACGCTGCCCACCCGCCCTCTGCCGTCTGCTCCGCGGCAGGCACCTCCCTCTCGCACCTGCGCACCCTCCCGCGCGTCGCCGCGCTCGAGCACATGACCACGGGCGCCACCGCCCTCGCGCTGACACACCAACAGGACTCGCTGCACGGCGCGCTCGCAATGGGCGGGAGCACGACAACCGCGCTCGCGTGCGCGGTGCTGCGCGCGCTGCGCGTCGGGCTGCCGAAGCTGTGCGTGAGCACGATGGCGAGCGGGGATGTCAGTCATTATGTGGGGGATAGCGACATCTGCATGATGCCTTCTATTGGTGCGTCTTCCCTCCCATCCCGCCCCTCCCTTACCCGCTGCGCATGCTCACACACGGAAAGCGGATATCTCGGGGTCGATGAACGTCCTCTCCGCGCGCATCCTCACCAACGCCGCCGCGGCGCTCACGGGGATGGCGCACGCGTATAAAGACCAGCCGACGCCCGCGTCGGGAGACGCGAAGCATATGGTTGCGGTGACGATGTTCGGGCTCACCACCCCCGGCGTGACCGTCGCCTGCGAGCGCCTCCGGTCCTTCACCGATGCGTCCGGGCGGCGCCTGTACGAGCCCGTCGTATTCCACTGCACGGGCGCGGGCGGGCGCACGATGGAGCGGCTGGTCGAGGAGAAGGTGAGCGCGCGAGGTGATCAAGAGGTGGGTGAGCAAAGCTGAACGGGTGGACAGTGGTTCCATGCGGTGCTGGACCTGACGACGACGGAGCTCGCGGATGAGCAGTGCGGCGGGATCCTCTCGGCGGGGCCGACGCGCCTGACCGCCCCCGGGAACGCGGGCATCCCGCACGTCGTGTCCCTCGGCGCGCTCGATATGGTCCGTTCTCCTCTCCCTCCATCCCCTCTCATATCATCTCACAATTAACAGTGCAACTTCGGCCCGCGCTCGACAGTCCCAGAGAAATATGTCGCGCGTACGCTGCACGAGCACAACCCGAGCATCACCCTCCTGCGCACCTCCGCGGAAGAATGTGCGGCTATCGGGTGCACGATGGCCGACCGATTGTCTGTCGGCCACGGCCCTCTCGCGGTAGTCATACCGAAGCACGGGTGGTCCGGGATTGATATCGCGGGCGGGCCGTTTTGGGATCCGGACGCGGATCGTGCGCTCGTGGAGGAGTTGAAGAAGGGGTTGAAGGAGAAAGGGAGGGCGGTAGAGGTGATTGAGGTGGATAAGCATGTGAATGATAGGGACGCGGCGTGGGTGATGGCGGACAAGTTGCATGAGTTGGTGGAAAAGTGGGAAAGGAGTGGTGGTGGCGCGTAGGGGCCAGCACGACTATTTCTTTCCGGTTACTGCGCGACCCGCTGGACAAGATGCAGCCAGCAGCAATTCGTAGCAACGATTCCTCCGGATACCGCACGGTGTGTTGCAATTTGTACGTAGAGATTGTCCATTTATTGGTGCGTTTTCTTAGTCCGTGGAGTTGGACTCCTGCACATATTCTTCCACAAATGCGTAGGCTGCCTGAGACGCGAAAACCTATGTACATCATCAGGACGGAATCATTCGCTTACAAAGGAGAACAAACCCCGTAAGGCACAGTAGGAGTTTGAGTGAATGACGCATCATACTCCAGGCACTCAAGGATCGTGAGTAAGAAGAGTAGGACATCTGGAAAGACGAGAGGTGCGTTGGGGTTATGGCTAATCACTCGTGGCAGCTTCGTTAGGGAATAGACTCACCCAGCACATCATAGTTGGGCGCCTTCCATCCACATTGGTCGACCGCGTTACTCCCGCAGACTATCACTGCGCCGTGTCCAGGCAGATGCTATACCCCCCAACTCACGGCTGACACTGGAACATGTGTGAGGATTTCATGCTCCCGGATGGTCAATTTCAACTCCTCGAGATCCGTGTTTACCCATGAACTCCGTCGATCGATGGCCGTCAGTCATCATAGGCTTTCTCGCGGACCTTGTTCAGCGCGCGGTGCTTCCGGAGGGATGGGTGGAGTAGGCTCTGCTGACGGCGCGTACAAAGGGAACTGCTTGTATACGAGAGGCGACTCCTCGTGCTAAACATAGCATGGGCCATTTTTTAGAAAGCCTGGTCATTATTCTCTCGGAGACGCTAGTCTGCGGCGAACTCGCTCGCCCGTATCTTGGCAGCAATGGTCCCGGCCGTGACTCCAGCGCCGCTGTCCAAGCCTCTCCTTGGAAACTCATTCACGTTTAAGAAAGCTATCCGTTGGGCCGCGTTGGGCCGTACGACACGAGCATATCGAACGCTCTGTCGGATTAATATTGCAGATCCAAGATATGGCTGAGTGATAGGAAGGCGGCAACGGCATCAGCTACGAACGCGGGACCTCGCGGGACCCGGACCAGGGATATATGTTTCGTGCGTCCATAGATTCTCATATCCTCTAGCGCACGGAGGGTGGATGGGGCAGTGTTGCAGAATTCGAATCTATGTCGAATGTTCAGGAAGAGGACTTCGAGCGTTGATTCAACCTCCGGGAGAATGTTCGCAAGGACGCTGTCCCATGCCGCACCCGCCCTCTCACTCCCAGTCCCCGGCGGCTGTTCGTCTTGCTCGAACATCACGGAGGAAGAGATATCAGACACGAATATCGGATTCTCGGGCAAGGATGCGGGTGAACGCACGACGCTGACGCTCTCCCATCAACTTCGGGGATGTGAAGCCGACCGGTCTGGAGGCCTCGCGGAAGTGCTTGCATACGTGGGGACAGAGAACGACCGGTGCTGCCCCGGTCGGTGCAGGCATGGCTGAAGACCATCCGCCAGTTCTTCAAGAGGAAGATGGTCCATAGCCGACATGGAATCACAATGAGATGGATTTACAGATTCTGTTATTATTAGAAAAATGCCATATCTGGTACAGAGTGCTGCACTTTACCTTGCGACTGCTCAACCCACGTCGGGGTACCCCTGCTCTGGTCAGCAGGCGAGCCAGGTTAGTTATCTTTTGTGACGGACTCCGTTACGCGGCGCCCACCAGGTTCAGCGACGTGCCAGTGAAGCGGATAGGTCTCGAGACTTCGCGGAAGTACTTCGAGTTGCACACCAGCGATAGGGCGCGGCCGGTATGTCCTTCATGATCATCGGTGCAGGCATGGCCGAAAATGTATAAACAGGAGTAATTTTACTTGTGTCTTCTGCTGTCCCTCCAACTTTCCGAGGCGCCGGCAACGACCACGACTTTAGCGGGCGGCGTGATGATGTTGCGTAAGTACGGTTCGCTAATGGGAAAGCCATGTCATATACGACAGCCGGTGACTTGAGAAGCAGCAAGCCAATCGTGATGCAAGGGGCAGGACAGATTAGGAGGCTCAAGCTCTCAAGACCCAGAGGAGATAAATGTGACTGAAATGCGGGCAGAGGACATACAATATGTCGGAAAAATCGGAAAAGACGGATATTACTAGATCATGCCAGATAATGCCCTGATAAGTCAATCAGGTTTGGGGAGAGTTATCCGGTTCAGAAATGATCGAAAAGCCATTGTAAGGTTGCGTCAGGGCCGATCAGCCTTCTTGTGACTTATACCGGCCACCAGCCCTTATTAGACATTACAACACTTACCCGCCCTGATCAGCCATGATATGGAGAGAGGCTCAAAACTGCATTGAAAAGCGAAATATAATTAATTTTCAGTGTGTTACTACACGCTCTACATTCCTTCACTGCGACGAGAACCCCCTATATTGGACTGCGTGACTAAGGCACATTAGGATATACGACACGACCAGTATTTGAACGAACAACTTCTCGAGTTAACTGAAAGACCAACAAGCGCACTTACCACTTCACGACACTGGTTTCGTTGCGTTAGTCTCATATTGGTAATATAAACCGTGTCGTGTTACATACACTCTGTTGCAGACGATCTTTGCATACGAATTCTACATTGGACGGAGAGAGACTACATGCTATTACGGATGGTCATCAGCCTCCCCCATCATCTGACCCTGATCCCTCACTCGAGCTCCTTCCATTATCGGCCTCCAGCAGTTCCAAAGCACGGTTCAAATCATCTTCAGACGAACGCTCAGGGTGTGTTCCCTTCGCGAGGCTTGTGTCAGAGTGCGGAAAGATCGCCTCGTCCCATGCCCGGAAAAGACCCAAGGTACTCGACTTCTTCTTTCTTAAGCCCGTCATGAGGAGTCGGAGATACTGCTGGAAGTCAGCAGACCAATTAATGCCGGTTTGGATGCCCACAGCCTTGAGTTGATCATCAGCAGATAGTGCCCAGCGAGCCTGAATATCATGAGGGTCTCAGCTATTCTATAAGCGGGAAACGACGTACAAGGACAGCGCAGGCGGCAATCGCGCCCGGTGTAGTATGTGATATGCCGTGTATCTGCTCCATGCTATCTGTGGTTGGCGCTGACGGCCGGCCCGTCATTGCCATAGTTGTCGCTGAAGTGGGTCCGCGGATAAGTGCAACGAATATCTGCCGCAAGTTCCAAGAAAAGAACATTGATTGACAGAGCATGTGAATGACGTACGTGCATGAGCAAAGGGTTCCGAAACGCCCTCTCTATCTCGAATCTTTCCGCATAGTTCTCGTGTATGACTGGGGCATCCATCGACGAATACCGGCTGCTTGTATTCCCCTCGCTGTCTTCAAGCTGGACCCAGCCGATTAGACGCCGGAATTTGTCGTACCGCTGGCGCGATGACAGCATATCCGCAGATGTGGCGGGGTCAGGCAAGTCGTGAGGTTTGTCGTGCTTCTCAAAGAGATCGATGCAACGGCGCCGGAGCCTTGTAGCAGTATTTGAACGCTGAGAGTTCATCGTGTTGACGAACTGTAACGGCAGGTGTTATTTTGAATCTCATCGGAGTACATGATCACTCACCACACGTTCAATCCATCTCTCGGACATGTGCTCACGTACATGGGCAGGAAGAATGTCCCGTACTTCCCGTACTTGCCCTTGGATTTTATTTGTCTCGCTGTCGAAGCGAGTCCTCTCATCGAAGTCCTCGTCAAGCGCAGTGCCGAATATATCCTTCTGCACCAACCAAAGACCTCGCAGTAACGTGAACTCCCGCGCCGCGCGTGAAACGGCCTCAATGTCTGAAACGGTGGGCTCTTCCTGGCTGTCGGCACTTGCCCGCACCCGTTTTCTTTTGCGCCTTCGTCGAGGTACCTCCTCGTTGTCGGAACGGTCTGTATCCGATAGGGCCCGCTTGTTGCTGACGTCTGCGAGCTGCCTTTTTAACTCGCGGATTGTCGCACGTGCCTTATTCCTGCTGCCTTGATAACTGCGAGCAGCCTGTTGTACACTAAGTTAAGCAAGGATTTACTCTCCCTTGTAGTTTAACTGACCTTGACAAGCCGCCGAGGGCTTGTCTTTGCGGACAGCACAATGCCATCGACCTCAGAATCAGAAGAGTCGGTAGGCTGAGAGCTCTCGGGTGCATCAGTCTCCGAGTCGATTACTCTTCCTCGTGCCATCTGAATCCTTGAAGAGTGAGAAGGGAATTCGAAGAAGTCGTAGTCACGTACACGCAGCACAGAGATTTGCGGCGCGTCAAGGTAATCTGCAGCTTATTTATTTGGGATGGTAGCTGTTCGTGGAGTGATCCAGTGTCGTCATCGACGCGGCGGTGGCGCGTCGCGTCGCGGTCAGCTGACGATGAGTGAGTCTCTCAGACTCTTTCCTTATGCCTCGAAAACGAAATGCTGGTACTAGAGCTTGGAGGGACAGGCTCACGTCCGAAGGCATACGCTTTTGCCAAATCTGCCAAACATCAAGGGATGCCCGGGGTTTCGACAAACATCAAGACTTCTGCAGGCGAAATACCGAAGTTGCGAGCCGGAAACGACGTTGCAGTGATGAGAACAACTTGTCAGATGGAGAGGAACATCTACTTGCAAAGAAAACCCATATCGAAGAGAATCAAGTTCCCCCCGAAGCCGAGGTGCGTACTGATGTCGTTTTGCTAAGCCCGGGGATAGTCAGAAAACAAACACTGCACTGGATATGTTCATAGATGCCTTTCTCGGCGCTACCAAGCTCCCCACAGCAAGGTGCAATGAAAGAAGATGAAGGCGGGTATCGGGCGGGGTTCGTGTACGATCGCCCTGCATTGCCCGAAGTGTACATCAAGATAGTACCTCACCCGAGAGCGGTCAAAGCCGGAGCTTTGCCAGTGATTGTCCCCCTGGCAGCAGCATCGAAACCTCCGCCTTCCGGACTTCGAGACCAATGCAGCAGTTACCAAAGTGGCAGACGATCTTGGGCTCCTTTCCGGACTTGCTCCGATTTTGAATTTACAGAGATCGCAGTGACTCAGGGATTCCCTGAAGACACTGTGGATTCCCTTCTCGATGGCGTTCGGAGTAGATGGATTTCCGGTAAAAGTGATATAACATTCCGGAATTATAAAGACATGAATGAATCCCTGGCGGCAGCGCGAAATTACGTTGTACCAGTACGTACCAGTAGTTCAATCAATCATTTGTTTTCGTTAAGCGGTGAATATAATAGTTCACTACGAAATATGTCTCAGCAGAGTACAAAGGCATCGAATACAAGTATGAGTATGAATATCGCGACCCTTGGGAATGGATCTTGAGCCTCGCCGAGGACCCGACTCTTGCAGATGTTAGTTCGTGGTATTCTGCGCAGAAATTCTACTGCGAGTCAGGGCGAGTAGTGGAAGGTCTCGTGGACGAACCATGTACCGCGAAAACATGGTGGGACATTGATGTAAGGTGTTTCATCTATCTCCATATCTCTAGTTGAAGAATTGACATACTTGAAGTCAGAGCTTCCTGATCCAGACCCGCACCAGCACTGCTTCCTGCCGCTACACTTCTGGCTGGACAAGGGAGCTGTTACACGCTGCGTGAGGAAACACCCAATGATCTTGAGAGCGGCGTGGCTCCCGAGGGATATTCGCAATGCATCCGGGAACGGAGGGGGAGTGCTACTGGGTTATATGACAATCGTACGCATTTGGGAAGCATTAGCCATTTCTCTGCCTTCTAAACAATGAACTGTGCTAGGTTGAGGACCCAGAAGACCCGACAGATCGTGACTCACGTACTACGTTGGAGTTTCAACAATACAAACGCACCATTTATCAAAAGGTGCTCGCAAAAGTGTTCCGATCGCTCAAGCGCAAGTCCTGGCATGGTGAACCGGTGAAGTGCGGTGATGGCATATTACGGATACTGTATCCTGGGTTCCTAATTGAATCCATGGATGGAGAGGAGGCATCAAATTTTTGCGCCTGCCGGGCCTCGCTTGCGAACCACCCAAGATGTCTTGTTCACAAGACAGACTTAAGCAATATCAGTACAGGACACTACGAGCTACGGACGGCTGCGACAATGCAAGCTGTTATAGAGCGCGCCGGGAATGCCCCGAATCCCACCGCACGTGAGAAGATACTGAAGGGAGCGGGTTTGCATTATATCACGGTCAGTTCATAGCTTACCCGGTCCTTTCCTCGATGTCTTACGCACTCCTGTAGCATTTTCTGTGGCAGTTCCGATTTTCAGATCCTTATCTTGCTATTTCGTACGACACGTTGCATTCTGATGACCTAGGCAAGTGGGGCCATCATCTCTGGGAATTACTTCTTCGAGTGTTGGAAGACCTTGGACAAAAAGGGCAGTTTGCAAAGAAGTGCGTGTTCTCCCTCGTATAGCAGATAGAGTTTCTGATAAAGGCTGCTACTAGTATGCGAAACTTTCCACGATGGCGTGATCTCAAGCATTTCAACCAGGTGACTGTTATTCACTTCACCGATGGGAATAGCTATCTCGACATATTAAAGGTATGTTGGGGTATTATTTTTAATGGGCTTTTGCATTAGGGTCTTGACCGCATATATCCAGTGTGTCGTACCGTGTATAGTCAACCTGCTCCCGCAAAATTCGGCCCTTGTTCATTGCATTAGGTCTTATGTGAAGGTCCGAATGATGCTAGGGATGCGCTGCATGACCCGCAGCAGAATAGAGCGGCTTCGGGACATGATCCACAGCTACGATAAGTGGTGTGAGGTATGTGTTAGTACATATTATTCATCATTGACCCTTATGATAGTTGCTTTCCAGCGAGTCTCCGCTGAGTATGACAAGAGCTTCGACTTCCCGAAACACCATGCTCTCTGGCATGTTATCTATGACCTCGAGCATAAGTGCACAACTGACAATTATTCTACCCGCCCCGGAGAGGGGTTTCAGCAAGAAGTTGCCGAAGCCTATCAACAGACAAACGGTAAAAGAGCTGAGCATCAGGTATGATCAGATTGCCATGATACTTTGCTCAGTTGTATCTTACTCGGATGCAGATGGCTCGGATTGACTCCAATCAGGAGGCGATCGCCTTGATACGTATGACAGTTGACAACGACTCCAAAGCTCAACAGAACATCACCGAGGAGGAGCAATTGGATGAGATGGAAGACATTGATGTGGGCCGAGCGCAACATTGGCGCTTCGGTTCTGAGGATGGCAGATGGACAGACTGCCGCCTCTGGGAGGAACTCGCAGGTGCTGCTAAGGGCGATTTCAAGGACTTTGATTTGCGTCTTAGAACGTTCCTATCTCATGCCCTCGACGATGAGGTGCTGACGTATGAGGACAGTATAGTGGTGAGTAATAATGCTCAACTTGTCATTATCTTATTTTTCTGACATTGTCATGGTACTGCTCTTCCTGTTTGTCTCAGGTGAAATTTTTCAAGTGCTGTTACGTCAACTACCAGTCTCTCGAGGACTGGACATCATCTGCAGATATACTTCGCTGCAATGACGCTTTCCACGGGCAGGAGCGCTTTGATTGTGTGCTAGTCAACTACGACAGGCCGGATCTGGCTCCAGCAAGGCTACGAGCGCTCTTCCGGTGCCGCCTTCCATCTGGTAAGCATGTCGATGTCGCTATGGTCCGATCATTCTCCCGCAGCGGCTGGGCACCGAGAACACGATGGGAAGGGGGCCAGGTCTACGAGGAGCTGAATGATACAGCATTTGTGATGATGGACTATGTAATCCGGGGTGCACTGATGACGCCGGTATTCAGTCAAGCTAAGAAGAGTCTCTATTATATGGTAGATACAGTCGATGCGGATATGTTTCTGCGGGCCTCTTACAGTAGTAGTACAACATTATGAACATCTTGGAAGGGTACGAGACGCACCATCACAAGCAGTCCCTGAAGTTATACTCGCTGGTCAGGGACTTGGCTGATCAGTACCTATAAATGCCTGACAAGGGTCTGATCAGCTTCGAAACATAATGCTATAAGGCCTGATCAGTCCGTCAGGTTCTGTCAGGCATTATCGGTCTTTTCCGGATTTTCCGACATACTAGTACTGACAATACAGGACAAGGGGGACAAGGGTATAAGCCTCGGCCAGGGTATACCCGTCAACACGGCAAACGACCAGAAATAACTTACGCAGGCAAATGATAGGGCTACACCGATAAATAGAGCAGATAAGAAAGATATAGAGACAGACGAGACACGTCAAGCGTTGCGAGTCGAGCGTGGGCGGTGGGCGGTAGCTCTCGCCTTCGCGGCTTCTCGTCCTTTCGGGGCGGCGGTAGAGGAAGCAATGCGCTGGGAACGCCTGAGAGGAACATCCTTTGCAGGCTGCTGTCGAGAACGTTTTGAGATTGGCTTAGAAGCTGCAGTAGGAGCAAGCTCTTCCGCCCTCGGCCTTTTCTGTTGCTTTCCCCCATCGACCTTGAGCTGATTAAGCCGCGCAGACCTGCGCAGACGGGTCCCACTTTCCTCTTTCTTTCCAACTGGGATGCTCTTGTGCTTCTGGGATGATGTCAGCTGTGGTGAAGGATCATTCACTTCGGCAGAACCTCCCTTGGATACGGAGGCGGCATGCGATGATGAGGGGTCGTTCATTTCGGCGGAACCTTCGTTGGACACGGATGCGGCATGCGGAAGCGATGCCATAGTACAGCTTTCCCCGTGTCCTTCCAACGCAAGCCCGGTCTCCTTATTCTCCTGGACACTGGGCCTCTCAATCAGGGCGAAGGGAATAGCCTTATCGTCCGCAGGCCATCCCTCCGAAGCTAGAGCTTCGTTGATCACAGAGAGAACGTTGTCGTGCGTAAGACGATTAACTGCATGAGGAAGCAGCACCTGTATGTCTTCATCGCGATAATGGCTGTAAACAAGGCGGCCAAACTGGACGAGGCATTTCGTCAACGGCGCGTTTCCTTCGACAACAATATGAGCGACATCTCCTCCCAAGAATATCCTTTTTAGTTTGGGAGAATGACTGCCGCCGTCGTAGAGCTCTTTTATTAGTTTATCAGCTCCGGTCCTCTTGCCATCTTCTTCGACATATGCCACTGTGTGCCGTAGCACGACGAATAGCACAACCCAGTAAAATGACTCTAGATCGTTCCATGGGGCGTGGTCTCCGGGTTTCGCAACAAGGAATCGGTGTATGGAAGTGAATTGGTACGTGCCCTGAGAGGAGGATGAGCTAAGTGTGAGCCGTATAAAATGTGAGACTGACAGTGAGATGCTGCAATTCCGCCTGCAGATTAGCCATCCCGGTTGCTGCCGCTAGCTCTGGGTCTATGAGAAAGCCTTTGGCTCCTCCTTCGGCTTCCACATCCGCACTTATCATAATATTATTGACGCTGATATCCCGATGTATAACACGCCGGGCACACATGGTTTTGTGGCCTAGGTTCATGTTTTCATTAAAGAACCCAATGATAACGAAAATATGTATTCACCTTCAACCGCATCCCTCACAGCCTCCAGGAGGAGGCGCGTAGATGTAAAGCGCGATAGGGGAATCCCGACAGAGGGGAGAATAACTCGGTGATGGATGAGTTCCTTGTACTTCTTCTTCTTCTTCTGGTTGCTCTTAAAGCTACGGTTGAGGCGGAACGCTGACGTTCGGTGGATCTCGTCGTCCTCGTCCTCGGTAATATCATAGTCGACAAGAAGGCGGGCAACACCGGGTACGTGCTCTCCTGCTTCGCGTATCTTGTCGTATATCTGTCCTTCCTTCCATCGTCCGTTCTCCCGCCAGGAGTCTTTGATAATGACCAACGATTCCTTCCCCCCACGCTTAGGAGTGGCTCTTGTTGCTACCCAGACGCACGTACCACGACCGAAGATCGATTTGCTAGTGAATATGGGGCGCCCCAGGGTCAGGTACGTGTCAAATCGTTTCTTTCCAGCCGTCTGGGATGGCGAGGGGATCAGCATACGACGACTGTCTTTGACCAGGGTGTCGCCCTTTCGTGAAGGCTTGTACTCCGGGACGACGAGAAGCTGTTGCGCAATCTTGTACTGTCTCTCCACCAGCTCCTGTTCAGCGCGCGCGGTAATCGGAGCGTTGGCCGTGGCGTCTATTCCACCGCTCGCGTATTCGGAGAGCCCAATGAGAAAGTGAACGAGATGTTCGGGATGGCGCTTATAATTGAACCCTTCGGAGGCCATGACTGTAGACCGATCCCATCGGAAGAAGCGAGCGGTATCGCCGAAGATACCGATGGCCAGGAGAAAACAACGAGGAGTACTGCGGAACGAGATCGCGGCATACTCTTGTATTTGGTTCCAAACCTTCGTCTGCCCCATTCTGAGCTCCTTGCGCTCGTGGATGTTGTAGAACGGATCATCTGCCTCCGTTGGCTTGACCTCAATAAATGCTAAGCTTCGACCCCAATATGCTTCCTTTCCATTATTGTCGTGTATGGCAATATCGGGGGACGCTCTCACGCCCCCATTAGAATCCAAGGGCCGTAAATCTGCGCACGTATGGAAGCGAAGTGGCAACGCCCGCGTGCGGACGGCATTTGTTGATATATCTACAAACGAATTTACCTACGTAGCGTTTAATAGCGACGTATCAGTGACGGAGAAGACTGACTTACCAGTGGGGTATACATAGGACGCTCGGACCACCCGCTAGACGTCTGGACTGCTTGTACTTTGTCCAGGAACTTTTGAAATCGTTTGACCTTCTCAGGAGAAACTCTCGGAAGTTCTAACCCTGGAAAGCATTCCGTCTGCAGGAAGTCCCTAACGTTCACTTTGCCCTCGCCGTGTAGGTAGACAGAACTCTCGACTCCCGCGGCACGACGATGCTCAGCATGGTCAGCCTTGCAGGAGGCAAATTGATGTTTGGATGCGTTGGGATGGGATGCAGCGCGGTCAGCGGTGGACAGTTCAGGTTGGAATAGAGGTAGATTGTCGTATGCGGTAGGATGGACCATCTTGTGAATAGTTGAGGATGCCACATAAGACAGGAGAACGTACGCGGCTGAGCAGCGAAATCACGCTGAGGAACGACATTTATGGGTCGTGTGGCTCGACCTTGGTTGATATTGTTTGTACGGGGTTTGTGGCCCGTTCGCTAATAGTGGCAGGTAGAAACAAGACAGTTGCTAAATTTAGCGCGCTTCCTGGAACCTTTGTCACGCGCGCGTGAGGTCACCTGTCACACAGCCACAACAACTTGAAGTTGAACTGTACTGAAGCATTGTTCACGACACGCATGATACAGTTCAGTCTCAAAGAAAATTACACAATAATTTTCTCGCTACGGTCTTGCGTACATGCGCTTTAAGTATTCCTACCACATCTCGTAGACAATTTTCTCCCGTCAGCATGGAGGAGCGTTTTGGCCGAGCTTGTGGATCGCCGTTCGTCCCAATACCACCACCGCCGGGGCTCTTCGCAATGCCATGTCCGATATCCTTCACATCCTTGCTGACGCCCAGATCACTGACGTCGTGGTCGAGTAGTACGGAGGGTCGGTCAAATTGCTGGCAGACCCGCCTCTCATCAGCGTCGAGGACAACATCAGTCCCGGTTCGGCCTAAATCATCCACTCAACACTGGCCTCAGCATCCTAGGATGGAAACCAGCCTCCTTGGAATGAACCTGTGTCGAGCACGGCACGCATCACCGCACACACTTTTCCAATCCCGCTCTTCCTGCCTCTGGCTACAGTTCCGTCACTGCCATAGTAATCGCGTGCCATAGTGTAAACTGGCCACGAGTCTACGCCTGCGTCCATAACTTTGCGTCGTGGAGGGTCTTTGGCTAAGTTTGGAAGAATGGAATGGGTCGTTTGCCCCACGCAGCGGCTGCATAGTGCCGCGAGGTCCTCCCGACGATTTTGCCCAAGTCCAGTCTCCCGTGGACTTGTCACTTGGTTCTGTTCCTCACCGGGTGCTGTTGGCTGAGAGTGTCCTATTCGGTGTTACCTCTAGAAACGTACGTCTACTGGAGGCTTTTATATAGTGCTTTCTTACTGCAGTTTACATCTGAAGCCCATCGTGTCAATGTTTATGATTTTCCAGTCATGTCTTCGCCAGCCATAGCCTCGACGTCCACGCAACCAGGCACTAGCTCTACTAATGACGAGAAAAAGAAACCGCTTCCGCGCTGGGTGCCCGTCTCAGTCAGAAAGTCGACCCCACTGGGAGGTCACACCGCCGAACGCGTTCGCGAATTGCAAATGCGAACGTGAGAACCACACCACGGTGCACGTGGGCGCGTGTCGATTCTGTGGCTCTGTCCACCGGCCACAGACGCATACCCCTCCTGCTTATGATAAAATCTGCATAGCCTGAGGGTTTTAACTTGTAAATTTATTCTAATCAGTCTGTGAGATTGAAATTGCTGTCAAAATGTGGCGAGTAATCGAAGCCATCTGTCCAATTGGGGTCGCACGAACCCACTGAAGCCCCTTCCGTGCCCTCCCCCTAACTTCCATAGTCAATACACTGGCATTGCATTGGAAATGTGATGCCTCCACAGATGCCTTGTATACATATAATTAGTCATCAGGCATGGACAACTTGAAATTCGTGGAAATCACTCTACACACGTCATCATACCATATCCCTGTTTAGGTACAATAATATGTGCATAACAAACTGTATTTTATGGATTGAAAGCATCGCCGCCCTTGTCTTTCTCGCTAAATACAATAATAGTTGCGGTGTGGCAATTCCCTAGGCTCAGGTGGCGTGGCAGGGCCCAGACGTTCGCCGAACACGTTCGCGAACGCGTTCGGCGGGCGAACCTCCCAGTCGCCTGGACGTTCTCGTCTCAGTGAACCCTCCCCACGCGCCACTCGGCGTCATTTATCTTCCACAGCTCGCAGTAACAACCGCCGCCCTCCCCCTCCCCATCTACCTCCTCAAGCTGCACCGCGCGTCGCTCGCCGAGCTCGCCCCGCCGGCGCGCAGAACTGCGAAGGCCGCTGGCCGCCTCCAACCTGCTCGCATCAGGCCTGTCGAGCCGAATCCTCGAGCGGCTGAGGTGCCCGCGGATGGGTTCAACGCGCCGCTGCAAGGCTTGGAGACGTCCGGGCTCGCTACGCCGGGCGTGACGACGTGTGCGGCGGCGGTTGTGTGGGGGGGTCAGAGCGTACCTTGGGGTTCGGGATGTACGTGTCGTGTTCAGTCCACAGCGGGAGGGTTGCCTCTGCCTGCGGCGACGCAAGCACACCCATATGGGTTACTGATATTGGTCCACGCACAGACTCGCGAGTCCGCAGACTACATGCGCCAAACGCTCTTTTGCCTCCCAGGGCCGGCCGCGCGCCTGCACCGGCTTCCTGACGCCGACGCTGACCACGACTCCGATTCCTCCCCATCTGCACCATTATCGCCACTCTCACAAGCAGAGCACGCCACCGGAGAAGCATGGACGTGCGCCGCCGCAGAGGTCCGGCTGCGCGCCGCGTACGAGCAGCGCGGGTTCGCGGGGTGGGCGGACGCCGCGCTGCGCGAGGTCGAGGAGGAGGCGCGGGTGGAGCGGGAGAAGCGCGGGCTGCGGGGTAGCACATACTACGAGAAGAGGAGAGGAGGTGATTCCAGCGCCGGATGGGCTGGCATGACATGGCTGTCGAGTTCGGCTACGTATGCCACGTCGACGACCTGGGTAGCAATGTCTTGCCCAGTCCCCCCGCTGTTGTCTGTCCGTGTTTGAACTGCTCTGTAAGTGCGCGTTTGTGGTCTGGTGTTATCCATGGCGGTGCGCGAAGGGCTGATACAGCGAATTTATCCGTCGGCGGCATCCAGGTATCATTTGTGATTGCAGAAGAGCAGAGAAAGGCGTGTATTCTCCCTCTCCCTCTTGCACTAACACAACTTCCACCCAGAGCATGTCCGTTCGCACCGCTTGCCTGCTTCACACATATCCATACAAGTTCTTCTTCCCTGCTCTCAGAGCTCTTTCAGCACCAATTGCACAGGCGCTGCTACGGCTGCAGATGAAGATAAAGCAGCGCATTCCTCACTGGTCTCCTCAACACGACAGAAGAAGACTACGAGTCTGCGACAGACCCGCTCGAGACTAAGGAGCCATCGTCGATACCTCTATCCAGGTGCGCGCATCCGCACCACGTTCAGCACCAGCACCTATTTTGTCACGAAAGGAATTCACTATACGCTAGCTGAGGATTCCCATACTCCATTTTCGCTGCGTCCGTCCGTCGAACCCCGGTGAGGGCACTGGCTATTCATAGTATCCCGTGAGCCAGCACCGCAAATAGGTCCTGTGACCCCTGCTGTCGCTCGACACCGCATATAAGCGTCATCTATGCTGGGCGCACGCCCTCCTATTCGCAGGCGATCTTCTGTTCACAAGCAATCTACATATGACGTCTACTCACATCCCGCATCTCACATTTCCCTCCGCCTCGCCCGACTTGCACGTCGAAGCGGTGGTGGCTGCATTGCGCGTTTAGTCGCACTGTGCTCGAAGGAAAGCTGGTGAACCTCGCTGTTGGTCGCGCTCAATCCTCTCCAGGTACATGTCTAGATCTACAAGCACGGACGGCGCGAAGCCGAAGGTCCTCCTCATCGGCTTCCTCGACACTAAGGAAGCGGAGTACGCGTTCGT